GTAAGTCCAAATGGATCAGAACAGTTGGCTGAGGTGATCTTGGAAGTCCTGAATGGTAACCTACTTGTCTAACGTAGTTGAAGTTTTCTTGCACAATGCTTGGCACTTGTTTTGTTAAAGATGATAGACAGCAAGCATCAAGAAGGCACTCTGTGACTTTCATGGGTATGCCTGTGCTAAGTCTTATTGAGAACAGACAGTTTTTGATTTCACAAGGATAATATCTTTCTATAGCATAGCCTTGATTTTTTTAAAAAAGGGGGGGGAGAGATAACATTAGAAACATCCAAGAAAATGAGTGAGTATTTGGGTTCCATGTGGAGCCAGCATGGCAAGTAAATCTGTGTAGGGAGTTTTGAGAGGACAAAAAACAAAATACACATTGAATCAATTATGAGGCCCTTAGTGGCAGTATTGGCAGTGACTGCAACATAGTTCCCATTTTTTAAGGGGAAAATACCCCAAACTATTTGTAGGGTGGTTGTACTGGCTGCTACAGTGCAAAAGATCAAGACCTTATGCTTGCCACCTTAATTTCAAGGATGACTCTGGGCTTGGGGGGGGAAATAATTATGGGTTGGTGCTATAGTATGGAACTGTGTTCTACAGTGAACAACATACCTGTCCTCCCCCCCAAAAAAAAACATACACACACAAATAAGAAGAGGAGAAAAAAATAGTTTCAAGAAAATAACTTTTTAAAAACCAAACTGTTTTTGTTTGGCATTGCCAAAAATTTTTTTTTCCATTTTTACTGGCCTTTTGTATGTGCACAATTTGCCAATGCAGTGAAATCATGGAGAAAGATTGTAACCTGAATGGAAAGTGGAAAGTATCTTGTTCTTACTGAGAGCACTGCATGTGTCTTTATTGGAAAAAAGACTTCGTTTTAATGTGCTTGCCCTTAAATTTTAATCATTGCTAACACATTGGTATCGTGCTCCATAAACCTCTAAATTGGTTTAACCTTCATATAGCAACCTCCTCCTAGGATTCATTACTGGAAAGCAGCACCTCAGTTAGAGTGCAGTTGTCAAAGAAAAACAGCCAAGTCCTGCTTGTTGTGTGGCTGTCAAATGTAGTTATTTTTTCCTAACATGTAGTGCAGATGGATTTAAAGAAGCACATAAGACCTTACAAGAGGGCTGACTAGCTAGATTGTATCTGTAAATGCTACAAAACAAAAGTATCTATATATGTTCCTCTTTTCCCTATTGCCATTGATGAAGTGTTTTCGGAAACTTTCAGAATGCATCAGTGTTACCATATAGCTTTAAATATAAGCTGCCTTTGTTTTCTTTTCTTTGAAAGGTTTTTAATAAGTAATCAAGACAAGTCTTTGTCCTTGTACGGATCTCATCATCTACTCTTCTACAGATAGCAATAATACTGTAGATCACTTAAGAGGAAGTCATACAAGTAGTGAGAGGAATAAGAGGAATTGATACAAGCAGTATTTACCATGTGAGGAAATACTGTTTGTAGGCCACTCATTTTGTCCCCCCCCCAAAAAAAAACCCTATTTGGACCTAGAGTTTTAAATCCTACTAGTTTGATTAAAGACAGTGTTAGCTGTTAATGATATGACGGTATCTCCAATGCACATCAGTTTTACACCTACTGTATTTTACACTTGCCTTTTCCAGAGTTCTGCAGGAAGTGATTAATGTTGTGTATGAAAATAACAGTAGAAAAGAGTGTTTTGCTGCATGCGTATGTAATATATGCTCACCTTAAAGCCATCACTGATCATAGCTTCCTCAGAAACATTATTTATTTATCTGTTTATCTGTTTATCTGTTTATCTGTTTATCTGTTTATCTGTTTATCTGTTTATCTATCTATCTATCTATCTATCTATCTATCTATCTATCTATCTATCTATCTATCTATCTATCTATCTATCTATCTATCTATCTATCTATCTATCTATCTATCTATCTAAATTTATACCCCACCTATCTGGTCAATTTGACCACTCTAGGCGGCTAGGTAAAGGCTCTGAAATATTCAATGATGCCACATGTAATGGCCTTATTCATGGTCTGGATTCTGTTTGCTACCAAGAACTTGTTACCAGAGGAAGCACTATTGCTTAGTTATGTTTCATGCTGCTCTTATATATAAGCAGTTTGCGTGAAGTAGCCTCTCATACTTGGATTAGCAAAGCAAAAGGATAGCATTAAGAATTGAAGATTAAGATCCTCAAATACTGAAGTGTTAACAACAGCAAGATGGATGTGTTAATTCATCTTTGCCATGGGAGTATTAATCTAGTTTTTCCCATTACATGAGCAGAGAAAACAGCCAGCACCATACATGTTCTTTAAATCTACTGGATGCTAAGGGAACAACCTCTGCTTTTTCAGTTTTGACAGCATGACTGGGGAAGGGGATAGGAGGAGATTGAAACAAATGTTCATATTATATTTAATAGCTTTCTGCAGCTGCAACATCTACTGCCTCAGGGTTCCTATCTTATTGATACAAGCAATATTTGCCATGCTCAGAAATATTATTTGGGAAAGATTTCTTATCCTTGGTACAAAGGTAGCTTTTTTAAAAAAAAAAATGAAGGAGTTGCAGCAGTTTGTGTCCCAGGGCTGCTCCTATCAAAGAATATTATAATTTGAGAAACTGGTTTCAGAGCACTTTTATCTCTCTGGTGTACCTAGAGTCGGGAGCAGGAGAAACACACATGTACTCAGTTGTAAAATAAGCCACATATTTTAGAACTTTTCATTATTTTGTTTAGAAAGGGTATAACAAGGCAACTGTTGATGTGAGCCAGAGTATTGTCAGGATGCAATGTGCCACCCATCCCAAGTGAAAAAAAGAAGACAAAATGGCTCTTGAGCATGGAGTATGTAGGTCAGTCCAGCAGCACCCATGTTTGTCTGTAAGAAATCTGTCCCTCCTTGGTTAAAGCCACAACCCTTAGTGGCTATCACAAAAGGCACACAGCCTTTCTGTTCCACCTGTTGAACTACAGAGCTTGCAGCCGTATCCAAGGAACAATGCAACTTGTAGAACCCAAATCACCTTTACGGCTGGATTCTTCAATTATAAGCTGGTCCGAAAACATGACTTACCTCCACTTACCGACCTACCAAAATACCTTAATTTTGCTTTCCAAATGTCTGTCTAGTTCAGGCTACCAGTGGGTTTGTCCTACAGATGTATGGCACCTATTTTATGTCACCATTATTTATTTCATTTATTTAATAGTTTCGTTTATCTGCTACCTTTTCCCTAAGGAGGTCAAGGATGATAAATGACTCCTCTCCTCCCCAGTTCATCATCACAACAACCCTGCAAAGTAGCTTGCAGTGGTGCAATGACTGGCCCAAGACTACTCAGCGAATTTCATGGCTCAGCAGGGACTAGTACCATTCCCGCACTCTTAACTATTGTACCATAGTGTCTCATATTTTCAAAGTTGTATGCATGTGAAATATGTCACCTGGAAGAGATTTACATTATATTTGTCCAGTTTACTTTTTTAGTTGTTGCCTACATACAGTGGTGCCCCGCATAGCAATGATAATCCATTCCGGATATATCGTTGCTATTCTGAAACGTTGCTATACGGGGCAGAAAACCCCATAGTTATGCATTAAACTCCTTTTAATGCGTTCCTATGGGGGGAAAACTCACCGATAAGTGAAGATTCCCCATCCGGCCGCCATTTTCGCCGCCTCGGTAAGCGAGGGCAGGGCGCGAAAACGCTGCGGGCGGGCATTTTCTTCATCTGGCAGCCATTTTGGAACCGCCGATCAGCTGTTCCGAAAACATCGCAATGCGAAGATCGCTTTTGCGATCGCAAAATCCGCATCGCTATGCGGATTCGTCATTAAACGATGCACTCGTTATGCGAGGCACCACTGTATTTCAATAGCCTTGGGGAAAGTTTCTTTTTAATATTGTGTGCACAGATAAAAAAAGAGAAATTTAATTACATTTCCTCAGTAAAAAACCTGGGTAATGTGACATTTCTGTGGTTCCACATCACCTTTTAGTCGCTTCCGTCATAACATTTTCTCAGTTTTATGATGGTGCTGGGTTGGAAGCTAATTAGGAACTACAGCATGTCAGTATATTGATTGTGGGAATTTTTCAGGATTCAATACTCCCACACATATTAAAGGGCTTCAGAGTATGCAGATCTCAGCTGTTAGGAGATATGTAGTTTCTGTAATATAATGTCTCTAATATTACATGAACACTGGAATTTTAAACTGTTTTGTTGTCGTGCAATAATTATCTTAAAATCATTTAACAAAAGATTTACTGTTGCCTTAGTTCCTGGCATGCTGAGGGTAACCATGTGAAACTATCATTGAGCAATAATATCATTTTGCCAGCATGCAAGACTAATATTTGACATAGCTTCTTGACAAGTGTCTTCTATACAAATCCTGAAATTTAATAAGATATAAAGTACACACTGAGTCTGTGGATATGTTAGCATAGTGAGAACATATCTAATTGCATAGTCTGTCTGTCTTTAAAAGTATTAAATGGCCTGCTTTGAGACACATTTTCAGTTGTTTTGCTTTAACAAACCTGTGCAAATTGTTTGAGAATAAAAAGCCCTTGTGTATTGCTTTATATCACTTATTCACTTCTTTTTTAGGATTTTTTTTGTTTTCTGAGTACTTTGCTTCCTCCTTCTTCATGTGCTGTGGTTTCCCATAATTAATGAGGATAACACATCTGTCTGGGCTGCCATGTGATTTCTAAGGCCATATGGCTAAATAAAATATCATTATGAGTCCCTAGGAATAGATTTTTTTTGTTTATAGTTATTGTTGTGGATTATTAAAGTAGATGAATACAGTGAAATGCTCCATGTTCCACATGTTCCACAATGTTTTCAAATTCTGATGTTTTATATTAAACTGGTGACAAAGTTACAAGAAACTGTGCTACCGAAATGCAAATGCAGGAAGCCAGTGCACTGCATACAATTGTTAATAATGTTTTCCCCTCTTTTTCAGTTATTTTTATTTCAATTGCTGCGAGGACTTTCATACATCCACCAGCGTTACATTTTGCACAGGGACCTGAAACCCCAAAACCTTCTGATCAGTGACACTGGGGAGTTGAAGCTGGCAGATTTTGGTAGGAAAGCTATTAATTACAAGATTATTTTACAATGCTGTGAGATATATCAAGGGATGCTTTCAACAGTTTTACTGATAGTCAAAAGTTGATTATGTATGGCCACTGTGACGGTAGGTAAATGAAAAAGGCAAAAATGTAGTATATTCTGTGACCTTCTAAATGACAAAAGAGAAGGGAAAGATGTAAATGCATTTCACATACTCCTCACCCACTTCACAACTAAGGAGAATATGTGAAAAGAGAGAGTTCAGAATTAGAAACATCCCAGTTATGATCACATGATTTAAAGTACAGTAGTGGGAATATCCTATAGCAGCCATTTAATTTTTTTAAAAAATTGATTAATGGTTTACAGTTATAGAGACCTATTTTTATATCAATTTGGAAAACACTAAAGCATTTTAAGCCTATATACAATGTTGCATGATCGTCTCTCCAATGAATGCTACATTTCTTCTGCATGTTCATGCTGGCAGCAATGTTGGGTTTTCTTTCTTTTAAAAATGCATTTAACCATTGTATTTAAATAATTTGAGTTTTGTATAGCATAGATTTTTTAAAGGCTCATTATTAATCAATTATGTAGTTTAAAAATTAGAAATGTAGATAGTTGACTTAATTAATTTGTAGTCAGGATGCTAACAAGGAATCTGCTTCTAGAGAATGCTTTTTATGGTGTAATAAATGTAAAAAGACCTCTTGGTCCCAGAGGGGAAGACCTTCAGCTCTGGTTTCTAAAAGTCAATACTACAACCCCGTTTTTAATTTAGTATCAGACATACTTCATCTTCGGCATACTTCATCTCCTCTGGGCTGAGAAATAAATACATAGAGTTAGACCTTTGGAAAGTTGTTCTTGGATAAACATGCAAGGAATGAAATATTCTCAGATTTACACTTGATGGATTCTTTGCTGTGTCTAATAATCTTCTTTCTCTATAATTTTTTAATTAAAAGGAACAAACTAGAGTTGTTTTTAGTTCTATAATATTCTATTGCACTATTCAAAAGAGAGAGTGTGTGTAGAATGTGTGTAGAGGGATCCATTTATCAAAGTAAAAAAGAGACATGGACTAGATTAATAATCAAACTAAGAATAGATGAAGCAGAAAAAAACGTCTCTTAAGGCAGTTGGCAAAATCCTGTTGCTTAGCTTTGCCTGAGTGAGAGGAGTGACATCACCAGCAGTGGCAGATTGAATTGAACCAAGAACTCTTAAATGAGAGATAACCTGCCAGTGATATCAGTGTAGTTGTAGTTTCCTAATGTAGATTTTATAAGGCTCAGTGTTTTTCCTAAGGTTGTTACTTTGGTTCACACTGGAATAGAAAGGGAACTGGAAATGTTTTAGAACTGTTTTGGGGAGTCACTATGCTTTGAAGGAGATATGCTTGTTTTTGTTTGAATTCAGAGTCTGTTAAACATATATGCTATATATACAAAAGGTAAAACTGGAAAGTTTAGCAGACATTCAAAAGACTTGCTGATATTTTTTGGGGGGGGAATGCAGACATCATTTAAAATGAAATTCATAGTCCAGGCAATTTTGCAATCTTTATATTA